ACTCTGCGTGCTTATTGAATTGGTCGAACCTCTAAACGAGTCAGCATGGGATAGACTTAATCGGTGCTAGGGATGAGGCTTCTTTTTGATGATCCGACGCTGGACGGTTTCGAACGCTCTTCTGAGTCGCTCTGCCAAACTGGGGCCAGACCAAATTTATGGCATCTTCATTCCCTTCTTTTGGATACGCAAAAGTGACAACAGGGTCGACGAAAACCAAGACGCATTTGCTGCTTCTTTATTTTCTCACATCTCCGATAGGCATTGGACACGTCAATGAGAGACTGCTCAATAAAAAGAAAAATGGTAAAATAGAGCCCTGGTCTCCTATCAGACGTTAAACATCTTCCTAGACTTTTTTTACAGAAAGTTCTCTTTCACGTTGCTGGGTCCAGAGATTACTTGGCGATTAGGTCACGCAAAGTCAGCAAGTCCCGTAGGCTGCACGAGAAGGTCCAGTCTTTGAGGCACGACGACCAAATCAGAATCGCCCAACAATTGATACATAATTATTTGTCTAATCATAATTGTGTAGTACTGGACCACGTCTGTGAGGCTACGAACAGATCGAGGAGCCTTTGGGCATGTTCATGTTGGAGGAAATTTGACACAAACAGACACCACTTGTCACATGTTCTGTCAGCATCGGTACCGAAATCCACTCCACCGCTTTGAACCGAGCTCCCGATTGGGGTCCCATTTTCGAGATGGAAGTTGCGTCGATTCGGTTGCCGAAAAACATCCTCTTCGTTAAAGGCTTCAGTAACAGGACGGTAGACCTTCACTATGGAAGCAGGCTCGATTCGATGGACAGAAATGAATTTATCTCGTTTTTGGCAATTTGGTCTTGCTGTCATGTCGACTCTGTCTTCTGCCCGAGTGGTCATGGGAATTTCGCTGAGCCCACTTTCATTTCGAGTGGAAGTGTGCGATGAAGCGATTCGAAGGTCGATTCCTTTTGGCCAGCCATTTCCGAGGCAATCTCCTTCGATTCCGATGCAACCGTGCTAAGCCCTTGTCTGTTGTCTGACGAGCATCATCAGAAGAAGATATCATCTTTACGACCAAATTGAAGCAATCGAGTCAAGAAAACTCACCGGCACATCCCCCAAAAGCTGTATGAATACTCTTTTATCCGGCCTCTTTGATGAGGTATAAAGTGATTTGGTAGGTTCCAGTTGTACGTCAACCTCAAGGCATGTGAGTATGTTTGTCTCCGAATGTGTATGTGCCTGTATGTGTTCGCCTATGCACGAAGCCAGCAGTGATGGCTAAATGTTATCAGAACCCGCATACAGAGACAGACACACTCACATGCTTCGAGGTTGGCAGATGACGGGAACTAACCAAATCGCTTTATACCTCATCAAAGACGCCGGATAAAAGAGTATTCATACAGCTTTTGGGGGATGTGCCGGTGAGTTTTCTTGAATTTGGTCGTAAAGATGATATCTTGTTCGTCATACAACAGATGAACGTTTTTATCGGAATCGAAGCAGATTGCCTCGGAAACAGCGTCAGCAAGAATGTTCCAGCAAAGCCGAATGGACCGCTGGTCAAGAGGAATGCGTTGCTGGTCGTCTTCCGGTGGAACCGAGTTTCGAATCCCTTCACGCAACACTTTCACTCGAAATGGAAGTAAGCTCAACAATTCTGAAACAACAGAGCCCTCGAAAGCCAACTTCTCTTGCATAATTATATTTTGGCAACGGCTTTGGAGATGGGCATTTGTTAGCAGACCAACTGTCTCCCATAAGCAAGTGTTTTTTCCCATTTCCTGCCATCCGTAAAAGCACGACATAAGGTCACAAATATTTGACCTCGTTTTCGCAACTTGGTCGTTTTGTCA